TACTCCGCTTCTACACATTTTTTGTGCAGATCCAGGTACGTCTATTCGTGCTGGTCGTTAGAGAATACCTGCTAGCTATTTTCATCGGAGACTTCAAGGTATACATGCTTGGCGTCCGCAGGCCTCGGAGTCTCCTTCCCTTATTCTCATTTACTGTTGTATTTTCTTTCGGACAGTGTGTAATAGTTACTGTAGTTATACTCTGTATCAGTTCCACCAATTTTGGGGTGTGTATTGTGAGATTCTGTTTTCGGAAGGTTTTATCCGTTATTCAATTTGTTCTTGGTAACTTGTTAATTATATCTGTTCAGTTGTTATTAATTGTTAGGCTTACCTAGTCGTAGAGATTAGGTGCCATCACGACATCCTACGGAGAAAAATTAGGGTCGTGACAATACCTACTAGTCAAGATAACCTATGCAGTATAGAAGTAAAAAAAACTAATAAAGAAAGCAAGAATCAGTAAATGGCAACAAGAATCAATATATGATATAAACAGTAAAGTAATACGAACACCGTGAAAGTACCATTGAAACCAAATAAGAAAAACAAATAACAACAAATTAAGTCAAACCATTCTAGCACAAGTTTCGCAATGAAATTACTCCGAGATACCTCATCTCATAGTCACAAGTCACGAGTCTCAACCCACAATTATATGCTCACAGCACCTTGTGCCCACATTTCAAATCACAACCGCACGAACAACTCACGTGCCAATATCTCAATCAGCCCGGCATGATCATGGGCTCACAATTACAATCCGCCCGACAAGGTCGCAGGCTCATATCAAAATAAAAGCAGATAATACAAGAATACATGGGCATGATCAATAAATGTCAAGTTTCATACTTCTGAACTAGGATAAGTGGCATGCCACGGTGTATGCTTGTGCAAGAGTACTATTACAACCCAAATCAACAAGTAATATCAAAGACATCGAGTAGCTCATTGAAGCAACATAACAAGTCACGTAAGGTGTATGACATACACAAGGAAAAATACACCATCACACGAATATCACCAATAGCCACCAATAGCCCCCAGGCCATCACACATCATCCCTAGCATTTGCCACCCTTATCTCTCTGATAGCCACCGGTATCACTCTGATAGCCACTTGTATCACTCCGCATAATATCCACCCTTATCGCTCCTCCCGGACATTAACAAAATAACTACCCATATCACTCCGTGCAATCAACAACAGTGGGATGCCACCCTTATGCCCCGCATAACAACAACAATGAGATGCCACCCTTATGCTCTACATAACAACAACCAAACCACACAACAATCCACATGTGCTAATATCACAACAACGCGACAAATCAACTAATACCACAAGTGCCCATAGGCCACAATCTTTCCAAAGAACCAACAATATCAATATTTCCACAACAAATAGCCCACGGCTCAAACACAACGTGTATAGAATCTCAATAACAGCGAAATGAACGGGAAAGTAATTCAACAAGGAACAACACTCCCTTTAAACACAAGTTCAATAAAAATAAATCCATGGCTTTCAATAACTTCAACTTCAATTAATTGTTTAAGGATACACTCGCTAATGAAGGTTTTCCATGAAATGGCAAACTTCGGATTCTAGTGTATGGAATAAGCTAACAATGAAAGAGATGGCATGAACTAGCAACTATGTCTAAATGCATGAGAATAACCGGGCAATAAAAGGATATCATGTAACAACAAATTCAATTAAGAATAACTCAACAATAATGGAAGTCACATAATGATAAAAGAGGTAGCAACTTCAAATAAAACATATAAGAGTAAACTTGACAAGTAAGGGATATGACATGTACTAACACATCAAATAAGGCATATGAGAGTAAACAAGACAAATAAAAGATATAACATGTGCTAACAAGTTCAAACAAATATATGAAAGAAGTCTAAGAGTCTAAATCGGTCTTTTACAAACAAACCCGAGTACGTACTCGTCACCTTACGTACACGGTTTCACATGACACAATTAGCACAAACGACTCAAATCCTAAGGGGTAGTTTCCCTCACACAAAGTTATGCAAGATACTTACCTCAAAGAAGCCAAATCAATACTTTAAAATGACTTTCTAGTGTGAAACAAACCTACGGATGGCTCAAATCTAGCCAAAATAACTTAATATCATAAATAAAAATCATAGGAAATAATTCCAGATAATAAAACTTTGATATTTAATGAAAACTAAAAAGTCAACTCAAAAAGTCAACTCCGGGCTCGCACTTCAAAACCCGACAAAATTCATAAAATTCGAACACTCATTTCGATACGAGTCCAATCATACCTAAATTATCCAATTCCGACATCAAATCGTCCTTCAAATCATCATTTTATATTTTTGAAAATTTTTGCAAAAATTTCCAATTTTCTCCAACTCAAATCACTAATTTAATGATAAAAACAACGATGGAATCATGAAATATAATCAAATCCAGGTAAAGGACACTTACCCCAATCCAAGTCGTGAAGAACCCCTCCAAAATCGCCCAAAACTGAGGTCTACAACTCAAGATATGATAAAAATGGGCAAACCCTCAAAATATAACAATCTGCGAGAGATTCCGCTTTTGCGGTCACAAGGTCGCTTCTGCAAAGGCACTCCTGCGCTCACGCTTCTGCGACACCTCTACCGCAAGGGCGGTTCCACTTCTGCGATAGGACGATCGTATTTGCGGTCCCTGCCTTCTCCCACAAAGTTCGCATATGCGCCTTGTTGGTCGCTTCTGCGGCGCCGCATCTGCGGTCCTTTATCCGCAGGTGCGATGGCATCAGTAACCAGGCCCTTCAGCAATGCAACAAGGTTCCAAAATGATCCGCAACTCGTCTGAAATACATCTGGGGTCCTCGGGATCCCATCCAATCATACCAACCAATCCCAAAATATAACGCAGACCTACTCGATGCCTCAAATCACATCAAACAATGTCAAAACTACGAATCGTACCTCAAATCAAACTTAATGAACTTATGAACTTTCAACTTCTACAACTCGTGCTGAATCATAATAAATCAACCAGGAATGACGTCAAATTTTGCATGCAAGTCCCAAATGACATAATGGGGGTATTCCAACTCCCGAAATCGAAATTTGAATCCGATATCAATAAGGTCAACTCCCGGTCAAACCTCACAACCTTCCAAACCTTCAACTTTTCAACTTTCGCCAAAATGCATCAAATTAACCCACGGACCTCTAAATCCAAATTCGGACATACTCCAAAGTCCAAAATCACCATACGAAGCTACTGGATTCATCAAAATACCATTCAGGAGTCGTCTACACAAAAGTCAAACTCCAGTTAACTCTTTTCATTTGAGCTTCTAAAACAAGAATTGTTCTTCCAAATCTATCCTGAATCATCCGAAAATCGAACTCGATCACACACGCAAGTCATAATACATAATACAAAGCTGCTCGAGACCTTAAGCTATCAAACGGGACGCTAATTCTCAAAACAACCGGTCGGGTCGTTACATCGACAAAGTCAACTCCCGGTCAAACCTTTCAACTTTCCAACTTTCGCCAAAAAATATCAAATCTACCTACGGACATCCAAATCAAAATCAAGACATACGCCTAAGTCCAAAATCACCATACGAAACTATTGGAATCAACAAAATACCATTCTGGAGTCGTCTACGTAAAAGTCAAGCTCCGGTCAACTCTTACCACTTAAGCTTCTAAAAACAAGAATTATTCTTCCAAATCAATCCCGAATCACGCAAAAACTGAAACCGACTATACACGCAAGTCATAATGCATAATACGAAACTACTCGAGACCTTAAACCACTGAACGGAACGTTAAAGCTCAAAACGACCGGTCGGGTCGTTACAATAAGAGGGTGTGGAGATCGAGGATTACGAAAGAAGGTTAGATAGTCGAGCGTTTTCCTTGTCCATACCAGTAGTATTTGTGTTAGTCTTGTATTTTCTCAGTGATAGATTTCTATTACTATTGTTGTCTCTTTTGCTTTTATATTCTTATAACTTGATAACTGATGTTACTACATGTTGCCACTGCTTCTTTTTTCATCTTTCTTTGAGCCGAAGGTCTGCCGAAAAAAGTCTATTTTCTCAAGGTAGGGGTAAGGTCTGCGTACACACCATCCTCCTCAAACCTTACTTGTAAAATTTTACTGGATTTGTTGTTGTGTTATGGGGTTCCAAGCTGAAACCTCTCTAAATTTAATTAGAGATTATTGTTTTTTTATCACCTTAATTACCCATTTTTTCTTCCCTCGTGTTCCTCCTGAGGTTTTTTTCCCTTTGAGGGGTTTTGGGGTTTT